TTACGCTTGTCACTTTCTGTGAGAATTAACTAAAATCCACTGCCTTAGCAGAGCTGTTCTGTGGGTCGCTCTGCTCTGCTCGGCACACTTGGCAGGCGCTCTCGTCTCTGTTGTTCTGCCCTGTGCTGTGTCGCAGGCACAGAGCGCAAGCCAGAAGGAGCTCAGCGGTCCTCAGGTCACTCCTCCCATTTCCTGAGGAAGAAGATGCAGGCGCAGGGCACGGCTCCCACCGCAGCTGCGTGACCTTTGGGACAGAATTCTGACCCACCGCAGTTTTCACTATTGTGTTTTGAAGCTGCTTGATTGGTGTGTGTGTGTGTGTGTGTGTGTGTGTGTGTGTGTGTGTGTGTGTGTTGGTCTCTCTAGCTGGAAGATGGATTGTCAGGACCTAAGGTTTTCCTTATGTGCAGATTCTCTCCCACGTCTGTGTCCAGACTAGGCGTACTGGGATGCTCAAGAGCGGCCCCTTGGAGCCGTTGCTGTGGGGTGGGACTGTCTTTCCATATAGTTCTAGTTCAAAAGTGTCTTCAACTCCTATTTTAATATGTAAATTATATTCTTGAATCCCACGTATTAGTAGAACTAGTTCGTTTTAGAACTAATTCAGGTTTTGTATTTTCTTGGTTGGCCTGACATGAAGACAGATATAAATACCTCTCTGATAATTAGATGATTAGGGACAATTTCATTTTCTGATTACTTGAAATCTTGCGACAGGTGGTAAGTACCACAATACATACCTCAATATTCAAATGCTCTTTTAGGTCTTTTAAAAAAATAGTTACGGAGTGTAAGAGAACCGCTTACTTAAAACTGCTCTTCAAACCCGAATAGCTATCCTGATTAACTTACCCTTCCACCCACCAGGACCAGCAAAGTAGGTCTCAGAATTTGGGGCCCTTGTAAAGAGGCTTACAGGTGGCTCTGACAGAAAGAGCTTCAGCTTGGAAGACCAGCACAGCTGAGATGGTGGAGGCCCTTTGACAGTGAAAGTTGCTATGTTGGAGACAGGCCCTACTATAGGGGCATGTAGAGCTCTCAGGGCAAGGTACAAAGTGCTGTTCTTCCTCCCTGAAACTACCTGATGCCCCTCTGGCTCCTTCAGTCTTCCAGTTGCAACTGCAAATCTCAGCACATCTAGGATGAGAGAGATTAAACCAAGACCGTCTTCTGCATCTTGATTCAGAACTGACGCAGCAAGTTCCACGTTGCTAACAGGAATCTATTTTTAGAAATTGGCATTTTGTCATCATGTTGAGTAGGAGATGACCCAGTCACTGCAAGCGCTAGTAAGGCTGCCTCTCTGTTTGGATATCGCGATGCCTGCCTTGTATTTGTACCATCGCATCCCATTCCCTCTTCAGCCCTTTTATTCAGTGATAAATGTATGTATTGTACATAAACGCCCACCATATATGAAGCTGCCGTATGAGTATTCTATTACATTGAGCAAATACTGAACAGGTATCAATGGGGTAATGTGCATGAAAAGAGTGAAGTGGTCACTGATCCAATTTATGCAAGTAGAGAATTGTCAGGAGCCAGTTTCAGTATTTATTTATGTATTTAATTATTTATTTGGTACAGCGTCTTGGTATGCAGTTCAGACTCCTAGTGATCCTCCTGTCTTAGCCTCCCCAGCCCTGAGATTACTGCCTGGTTTCCAGTTGGTATAGTACGCCTGAGGTTCCGGGGCTGGCATGGCATGCGGTACGGGGGATCAAACTCGGGATCTTGTGCTTGCCAGGAAGGCACTTAGACCACTGAGCTGTCTCCCCAGCTAGTTGCAATTTTTAGCTGGACCCTTTCTGAGTTTTTGGGCTAGGTGCTATGGGTCACAGCAAAAGCCAGGGAGACAGAATTTGAATCATTTAATTTTCCAGAGAGGAACAATTGGATAGGTTGGTGCTTGTGATGTAAGAGTAATTACATATACTTTAATAGATTTCAGTATAATGAGACAGAATGATTTTTTTTTTCTTTTTTTAACTTAAGATAGACATTGGAGATTATCTAACTCTACTGATTACCAGACAAAGAGGTTTTTTTTTTTTTTCTTTTGTTCTTAAGAAAAAAACTTGTGATAAACCATTTCTTAATGAAAACTTAGAACAGAGGGATCTTTCCTTCTTCTCCGGTAGTGGGTTATATAATTGTAAATGCCTGTGTGTACGGATGGACCACACAGCATCTCCATTTATTCAGAGTCGGGTTGAGAGGGTCTATGTTTAGCACTCGAATATTGGACATGATTCAAGTACGCGTCAAGTGTGTCTAGAGGCTTTATTCAGACCTATTTTCTTTTAGTCAGCAATGCTTCATAATGCCTTGGTTTCTTGAATTAATTTTAATGGAATTAAACTTGAACAGCTCAAAATTATATAATTAATTTCATTCAGCTTCAATTAAAGTTACTAATTGAATCAGGCCTACTAGCATGACACCTGGCGGCTGGCAGCCACATAACAGTGGCAGCAAGTGTGTTGGACCCCGCCGACAAGCTAGCTCATGTGTGTCAGTGAATTTGGTTAGAAACCTCTTTGATTGATCATCTCAGAAAGGCTTTGAGTTGACTGGCAGTGGAGGATTTCTGGAGTTGTTTAGAAAAGTAAAGATTTTAATTGAAACTAATGCAGCTCATGAAGATTACATTTTCCTTATGATAATGCTGAGTAAATGTTCTGTAAATCTAGAAGATATTGGCTGAGCACGCTTTTAAGTTATGTTTTACTGTTCTTTGAATATGATTTTTGCTTTCTGAAAATATATAGAATTGAAGACCCTTTTAAAGATCTCAGCCTCTGAATTTATTCCTGTCCATGGATTTTAATGTGTTAAAATATGTTTCATGGCAGAACATTTCAATTGTTGTGAAATTCCCGTGGTACTTGAGAAATTTTTGCTTGTGCAGAAAATTTTCCTTCCACTGGAAATGTTAACAACTTCTTGAGTCTGTTTTCTTTCTTTGCTTCCATAGCTCTGTATTGTCCAGCTTTTTCTTCTTCTTCTCCTCCTCCTCCTTCTCCTCCTCCTCCTCCTC